TCTTCGAATCACTGATCGAACAGCCTGCACACTAGCGTTTTTTTTTGAGCAAATTCCCTCCTGACTTCCTTCCCTTTCCTTGAGCAACTTCCCAAAGACTAAATTATCTTTCATTTTCTTTGGAAGACGTTCACAAGACTGGTCAAATTTTTGTATTCTCTTGGATATTTCGAATATCAGATATCCATTATATTATTGATATTAAGCAATCAAAAGAAAGGATATGGTGATGAGTGGAACCGATGATCCGATGAACCTTTTATTAGAAGTGTAGCAATTTTATGACTGAGGCGCTTTTGTTCATCTTGACTCAACGATCGTCTTGCGATATCTTCGGTTCGAACTTCGGTGAATTGTTTCAGTGATTTGAAGAAATCTTCTTCAATTTGTTCATCCAAATCGGACGGTAGAATTATGCCAACGAACATATCTGCAAAAAGCATCGACGAGTGACGTTGCAATTCGCATTTTTGAATAACGATTAAGACAATACTAAAGTAAAACGACAGATGAATAACTGACCCAAACAGCGCGCAAAAAATACAGAATCGTAGGGACGTTTCGGCGTTAGAACGCCGTCATCAGCTTCTATACTATTTGAGCAAGGATGTTGAACTACAAGAACGGTCACGATTTCTAACGAATTAGATGGGTAACGAGAAGAGGAATGTCGAGAATAATGTAATTTGGATAGAAGAATACTTATTATTAGTGTGAATTACGATATTTATATGAAGTAAATGATAATAATACACAATAATATCATCACCTGCTATCGCAATTATCACTAGTCTATATTTACATCACATAAATGTCACCATTCACAATAACAATCAGTATTCTTCTAATCAAATCCTAATCCAAACTAGATTGATCCCCGACCTTCCTCTTTTCCTACCCACCCAATTCGTTAGAAATCGTGTCAGTTCCAGTAGTTTAATATTCTTGCTCAAACAATATATCAGCTGACAACGGCGTCCTAACGTCCTACGACGAGTCTGCATTTTCTGCGCATTATTTCGGTCAGTCATTTATCTATTTATCATCGTCAATTCACTTTAAGGACGTTAAGGTTATTGTAAAACAACGAATAGAACTCATCGAAAATGACTGAGTCCGCAGACAATGTGCTGATGATTAAAACAACCAATGCAAATCGTTGAGAAGCTTATTCGTCCTTCTCGAGTTGTCCATTCGAGTGACGAATAACGAATGGAATCATTACATTAACTTACTCGGATGTTCTGGAGTTGGATTTGACACCACATAAGCACCGATATCATTCTTTAGAACTGGCGTTTGCTGAGGTATCAACGGATACACCCAAGGACCGACCTGAAGTACCCTTATTAACCTAGCACGGAGATTCGATCACAAAAAAGAATCACCGAGCGATTTGGTTCATCAGAATGAACA